GCTGTTGTGATGGTGACCAAGAAAGAAAGGGCTAGCCTTTTTGAGGGCTCTTCAGGTTCAATCCATTGCTTCAGTCTCCCTTAGAAATTTCAGAAATGACAAGACCCGCATTGTGCTGTAACGATATGTGGGCTAAGGAGTCAGGTGATGGAAGTACTTCACCCCCCTATTACCTTTCCTCCTCTTCCCCAAACCTCCATCCTTCCAAAGTGGAAGTAAAGTCAACATGGAACTTTCGATTCTCCTTCTATTGTTCTTTCTTTCTTAACACATGCAAACATGGCCATTGGTTTCTTGGTGTCCACTGGACACAAAGTAGTGCTGCTCAAGGTATCGTGTGTGTGTGTGTGTGTGTGTGTGTGTGTGTGTGTGTGTGTGTCTGTGACATCGGGAGAATTTAGAAACTTAAATAGCAATTTGACTTTGCCATCACATCGAAGGGTGTGATCAGTGGGCTTTAAAGTTCTTTTTTGTATATTTTAATTTCTTATAATTTTTATTGTATGTTATAAAAGTTTCAGTCTGATATAATTTGGGTAGACAAATTTGCCCTTCATATAGTTTGAGGATCTCTGTCCTCTAGAATGTTCCTTCCTTCCCATCCCCATTATCTCTTATGTAGACCTTTCTGATCTTGTGCCTGCTCAGATGTATTAGCAGCTTGCCTAGTCTGCCTGCCTCTTCTTATTCCAATCCATCATTTAAAAAATTTCAGGTGCAGAGAGGCAGAGAGGTAAATTAATTATATTCCTCCATTTCTGGCATAGTATCAGCATTGATCTGGGCCAGTTCTCTCTCTTGTTTTATGTATGTTTATTTCTCTTCATTCCTGATCTCTAATAATTCCCTCTCCACTTAAATAGGCTTTCGTGCCAATATTTTTGATGAATATTCTCAAATGTCTGTGTCCTTGTCAAATATGAAGCACTGTCTTTGGTGTTTTTTTAAAATATGTAAATGATGTTGTGTGCTATAGATATCATTTTTCACTCAACAGTATTTTTAAGGATCTGCCTGGGTTGCTTTATGTATCTCTGATGCTGTGTATTGAATTGTATTTCCTCAAATTCATGTTGAAGCCCTAACCCCTGATATGATGGTATTTGGGCTTGAGACCTTGGAATGTAATTAGGTTTTAGATGAGGTCATGAGAGGGGAAACCCCCTGATGAGATTAGTATTATTGCCAGAGAGCCTGTATTCTCATTCTCTCTCTCTCTCTCTCTCCCTCCCTCCTCCCTCCCTCCCTCCCCCCCCCACATACACCACGTGAAGACACAGTGAGAAGTGACAGTCTGAAAGCCAAGAAGAGAACCTTTTTTTACTGGACAGCTGAATTGGTCAGCACTTTTATTCTTGGACTTCCTAATATCTGGAACTGTGAGAAATAAACTGTTGTTTCAGCCACCCAGTGTGTGGGACTTTGTTAGGGCAGCTTGAGCTAACATCTGGTATATTGCTTCTAAGCAGTGAAATGAATATCTACCATAATGTATTTATCCATTAAATCATATTTCTTAACCATTCTATCAATGGTTAAGACATGTAGGTTGCCTCCAGCTTCTTCAAATACCATGCCACTTTCTCATACATATCCATTTATTGGCTACATGGGAGATTTTCTGACCTGTGTATCCAGGAGTTAGGTTCTTGAATCAAGGGGAATACGCATCCCTAATTTTGTCAGGTAGTACCACATTGCTTCCCAGACTGACAGTTAACTCTCCCACCAGCAAAACATTTCTGTTTCCTCACATCCTCTCCAACCTTTGATATTATCCAGCTTTCTAATTCTTGCCATTCTGATGGCTACAAAATGGTTCTCAGTCCTGCCAGAACATTCCCCCCCCAAGATGGTATTTCATTATATTTTATCCTTGCTCGAGGAGTTTCAGATGAATATAGTATTTAAATTTGTGACTTTGCAAAACATAAATCTCCTTACCTATTCTAGTCTATCTCACTCTCCTTCCAAACTTGAACTTGCTCTTTTTATTAGACTCGCCCCTCCCTTGCTCCTGTTAACTGAGCTGCAGTGTATCACTTGTAACCTGCCCAGAGCACACTAGCCTTTCCTCTCTTCTCTTTTTCAGCCTGTTTCTCCCTACCCAAGACAGTGTCCATTTCCTCACAGGACCTCTACACCCTATGCCAAAGGGGACGTTGTTACAGAATTCAGCATTTTTCAATCATTCATTTTTAACTTTTGCTTTGCTATCTTGTGATATGGGACTGACTGAGTGGTGGTAACACAAGTGTATGTGTGTGTCTGGGGGGGGTGGTGAGTGGGTGGATTTGGTGGAGGTGCTGTCGATGGGTGCTTTTAGGGACAGAGCCAGGCTACACAGCTCACCGTCCTTACCACTGCCTCTAGCTTCCCTTCCTTGGCTTGTCAGCTGGGCTAACTTGTCTACTCTAGGGCAACTAGTGTTGCTGCCCTGCCCCGACCCTTGCCCCTGCTGTGTGAGGCTGCTTACATTCTTCCCTGCTCTGCCCTATGCCCTCACTGTAAGAGGAAACAGTCTTTTTGACCCCCCTTTCAGAATTCCCTGCCTGGATAACATGCTTTGCAAAAGACTATTGCCACTGCCTCCCTGGTGGTGCAAGGGGTTAAGTCTCAGCACTATGAAGCTATCGACAGCCACTGCAGCATGAGTTCGATCACAGGCCAGGGAGCTAGCCCGCTTGCAGACCTCTCCTGTCTGGTCCACTGCTCCCCTCAGCAGTGTATTTCAGTAGATCTGCCTGTTCTGCTCCCCACTGTCTCTGGTGAATCCTCTCACCCCCTGAATCTCTGGCCTGCACCCCAGATCTTGTATGCAAAAATAAATAAATCTTTAGAAAAAATTAATAGTGCCCTGGCAAAGTGTCCAAGTTCAGGTAGCAAGTTTAGGATAATGTTTACCTCTAGAAAAGGAGACAGTGGCATGTACGCCAAGAGAGGGCTTCACCTGTATCCAAAATGATTGATCAGTTGATTTATATTTGTGTTTATTTTATGCTGCACTGACAGGCCATACGTTTTTGCTTCTTCAGTTTCTCCTGGGTATATTTTCTTTCTGTACAACCTCCTATTCTGTTGTAGGAACAATCTGCTCTTTTTCAGTAAGGATCATCTCAGCAAGGCAGGGGGAGCCCACCGGCTCTGTAGGTTCCGGGATGCACTTGAGGGGTTTTGTTCACCTGGATGTGCTCGGCAACCAGAGGATCTGCATCTAAACCCCAAAGTTGGGCACTACTCTCTGCATTGTAAAGCATGTGCAGTAAAAATTCCGCTCTCTTATTGAGCCATTGACCTGTTCCAGTCCCACTGCTTGGCCACAGCCCACCCAAGGCCTCTACCACTGTGCCGGCAAATGGCAGACTCGGCTTCTGGACAGTGCGCGCCTTCACATACTGGGTGGCTTTTGAGATATGCACTCACTTGATGGCCCAGGCAGTTTCATGGAGATTTTTGAACACAAAGATTTGAACCTCTTGATTTGCATCACTTTGTAGGTTTTTGGGGTCAAACAAGTGGCAAACCATTTTTGGAGACCACCTAAGGTCGCTTGAGGGAAGAACAAATATCTTATTTTTTATGCAGGGCAGAGGGGTACATTGGTGTTTGTTATGTGATGTTTATTATATCATCACTGACATTAAATTATCTTGAATTTGCTGTTTATCATTTACTTGTCTGTATTATCCATAAGTAATACATTTTAAAATATTTTCAAGCCTTCTATGTGTGGAGTGACCAGATGTTGTGTGCTTTCTACTTACTATGTATTTGCTTTTGCTTGACATTTTTTTGAGACTTTTCCATATGGGTAGATGTAATTTTAGACCTGTGTATTAATATTACCTTTTATAAAGATAACCCAGTTGTTGAAATATCTTGGCCACTCTTGATTGACATTTATATTTTCTGTTTTTTACTCTCATAAACTCTGCTGTGACAGTTTGGTACATAGCTCCTGTGCACAGGGTCAGAAAAAGGAGTGAACTTGCTGGGTTATCCAGCATATATGATGGGAACCTTCCACTTTGCAAGGTATTGCCATATCTTTCCTCAGAAGGATTTTTCTGCTTTACTTTCATACCAACAGGGCTTGCAAGGCGATATTGACCCATATCCTCACCAACCCTTGGAAACATTATCTGTGCTTTTCCCTCTCTGCCCAGATTCCCATTCAGGATGAGAGAGGGTGAGGAAGGAGAAGGACAAAAGTTCCTCAACAAGGAGGAGAATGTCAAGTCTGAGGAACTTTCTATGACTTTGATTTTATTGAGGAAAAGACTTTATTCACTATTTTGGTGACAATAATGTTTAGGCTTTTGTGGGAAAACTGTTAACATTTTTACTCTGAAGTAGAGGAGCTCCTCCCCCCATTTGAATTTTTTGGCAAATAAGTAGAATAGATGAATTAGCAAGCTAATGTTCTAAATGTTCACTTGCAGTAATAGTTATTTTTAAATGTTTTAAATAGCATGGCACAGTGGGGTTATTTTTATTGCTTTTCAAAGTTTTGAATTTGTTAAAAGGAGTTGCATTGAACATGTGACCAAACTTTGTGGATAAAGATTCATTATAATTATTTGCAGCAACATGGATGGCGCAGGAAGGGATCATGCTCAGCGAAATAAGCCAGAAAGAAAAAGAAAAATACCGGATGGTCTCACTCATAGCAGGAATCTAGAAAACTTAAATAAGGGACCAGGAAAAAGAATAACTATAAGAAAGAAAATATCAAAATCAACAAACAACTATGAATCACAGACACTCGATGGGGGGGGCTGGGGTGGGGAAAGGAGGGATTTGGGCCAAAATAAGGGGGTTGTAATTGTAAGGGGAATATAAAAATAAAATTTAAATTAAAAAAATAATAATTACTTGCCACTCTAACATGCGTTTTGTAATGGGAAAAAAATAAATAATGGGAAATGTGTTTACCTTTGAAAACAGATTTAAAAGTCAGAGTAACTTTGACCATTTTATTTTGTCTCCTGTGTTCACAGATGGGAAGGGAGAAGTTCCATAAACCTCACCATTGGGACTTTTGCAATAATGTCAGGATGCTGTTGAATGAAGACAAACCTGGCATAGGTGGAGAACGGCTCTTGGGGCAAAAGATGAAATCGAAGTATAGTGCATTTCCTAAAGGACAAGGAAGTGCTGCACCATCCTGGGTAGCTTTTGATAAACAGGTAAATCACATGACATTGGGAGAAATGCAGTCATAAAATGTTACATGTACTCAATAGTCAATCTATTTGAGAAAATAAGAGTCCTCCATGTAAATGTTAAAGCTAGTTCTACTGAAAAGATATATTCAAGAACAAAAGTACCCTTAACAAGGAAAAGTTATTTCTGCTCCTGTTTCTGACCAGGCACATTGGTTGCAGAAGCCAGATTGCTCATGGTTAATGCTTTCAACGTTTTTCTCGTCTTCCTCCCCTAGACAGGATCATTTGTCCTGCTATGGACATTAAGCGTTTGGTAAACTGTCACTTTTGCTTCATGAGTTGCCATTTACTAAATAATTTTGTTTGATTCTGAATGGGGCATTAAATAGCAACAGAGAGATGCTTTCTCGTCTTTTCTCTTCTCCATACTAATTGTGATTCCCCCCTGAGAAGCAAAGGGTAACATGTCAGGAATTGTAGGAATGAAGGAAAGAAGTACCATTATTAGACAAGAGTCTGAACTTTTTAATGTATATATCATGCACACTCACACCTGTACTGGCATATTAATGATTAAAGAAGGTGATTCATTTGAATATTTTAAAAAGGGTCTAAGGTCAAAGCAAAAAATACCTAAGGTGACCAGTTATTTCTCAGTTGGAAGCTATATGGATATATGCTCTGTTTAGCCAACAGCCCTGTGTCGTGGCCTCATATTCCGTTCTCCAAACAGGACTTGTTATTAGATTATTTAGGACCTGGTTTACAAATTAATTCTGGACTAGATAAAGAATTCAAATTTTAGTGTGCTCAGTTTACCAGGTGGTTTTTAAGAACCTTAACACAGATTGGTTGGCAATACTTTGATTCCAATTAAAATGTTTTCAAATTTGACAGAAGTGACACATCCCATGCCATCTGTGTGAGGGTCGATCAAATAGAGTACACATTTTTTTTTTTTGAAACCCAGTTCTGACACTTATGAAGATCTAACAGACTGCAGGGACGCTTCTTTCCTGGGAAACCATCTCTACTTTGACCATGGGCCAATCTTTTTCTGTTTTTGATTATTTTCAGTACCTGACTGAGTTCTGGACCCAGAGTTCAGAAACAATTTCTGGGTTGACTTACTTGGGTGGATCATGCATGGTTTCCTGTTAACATCAATCTTATAGGTATTTGTACATCATCATTCTAAAATGTTTAACTTGTAAGGGCCTAAGGAAAAATTCTATTTTTACTTCTTGTATCAAGAAGAGTGTATTGGCAATATTTTAAACTGATCCACTACTGATTAAGTAATGTTCTAGGCCATAATATATTTATTCTCTTGTATTTAAAGTTGAAAATTCATTTTATTTCGTTTTTCTCAATGTTTAATATGTGCCTTTCAAGCCTGTATTTGCAGCCCTTTAATTACTTATAAAATTATGTAGAATATTTCATGAACTTGGAATAATTTTAGCTTCAAACTACTTGAGAAAATGAAGAGCTTACTCATTTTAGGTCTAACTAAATGCAACATAATTCTTTTAGTTATTTTGTTGGTCAACTTCAATTAAATATTCATTGAGCTTTAAATGAGACACTAAGACTATTAAATATTTACGTGCTCTGATGAGATTGTGAACTACAGACTGGATCCTGGGTAATACCCAAAGCAAATTATAAAACACTTTCTACATTTGTGGCTTAACAAAACAAGTCAACACCTGTTAATCATTTTTCTTAAAAATGAAACATTTTCAACTCATTCTGGCTTTTCCAATAGCTTTTAATCATAGTAATATATCTAGGGTTTCACTTTCAAACAATTAAAAGCAGAAGTAACAGCAATTCTTTGGAAAGTGTATCAGAATTAATAATTGAGGTTGATGTTCTTGATACCCACCCAGATCTATGTTAAGGGTGGCACTCTTATCCCCCAGCTGTGGCAAGTGCTTTGGCATACAGCTCACCCCTGTAAACCTCTATCGAGCGTTGCTCTTGACTGATGGGAGTTATGTCACTCAGAGAAGCCTGGATGCTTACGCTGGCTCCTTTCTGCCAAGAGGGGGTGGCCTATGGCCAACTGATTTATCAAGCTTCCTTAAGGGGCTATGATTTGGGTTCATAGCCCTTTGTGTGTCAGCCCAAGGCAAAACTCCCAGTGAGAACACGGTGTTTCTCAGCTCATCCCTTTCCCTTTGCTGTTCCCCTCACTGGCTTACAAGGTTTTCCCCAAGACTGCGCCCTTAATAAATCACATGCACCTAAATCCCTGTTTCAGCCTCTGCTGTTACGAAATGGAACTTAAGACAGAATTCCAATTTTTATGCATAATTCTAAAAGTGACCATCAAAATGTTCTGTGCAGGCAGGCCATCAGATTGCAAGCAAAGAAGATGCTATTTACAATCACTGAAAAGAGCCAGCATTTGTTATCCTGCATGGACTCCATTGCAGACATGTCTAGCATTTTTCCTTTATTTACTCTCCCCTTCACTCTTAAGGGCAGACCACCAATTTTATCCAGGTGGGAGGTGTGCTCAGTTAAAATTGCTCACCTCTCTGTCTTCTTGCAGCTGGACCAGCCATGTGACTCACTTCTGGCCAATGTTATATACAGACTGAGACTGTTGAGGTGGGGCTCCTAGAAAGGTTATTTTTATAGTAGAGTCAGGCTAAGCTGGTCTGTTTTTCCTGCCTGAAATTAGGACCTAACATCTTGGGATACAGCAGCCATCTTGTGAGCACAGAAGAGATAAGGGAATCTATGGTCCTACTGGCATTATGAGTCACCGTTTCAGGCCCTGGCTGCCTCTCTCTGGACTTCTTCTTATATGAGAAAAGTCAGCCCCGCTATTTCAGAGCTTTTTAACCCAGAGAGGCCTTTGGAAATATGTGGAGGTGTTTTGGGGTTGTTGCAATGACTGGGAGCAGACTTGGACTGGGGTGAAGTAAGGCACTTGCCTTGGCTGCAGAATTTAAGGGGCATTCCAAAATTCAATAATAAGCAAGATAATCTTTTAATGAAATACCTTTAATAAAGAAAAATTAGTGTTAAAAATTCATGATGTACAAAAAAAATAGCAACCTTTTAATGGAAGAGCGAATCAGTAACTTTGCCATGCTAACCTATATTGGAGCCTGAGGCAAAAGGAGAAATCAGTACTGCTGATCCCATTTTATTTAACATTTTGACATTTTGATATTTTTGTTCATTATGGATTTTTTTTGCATCAATTTTGGTATTTAAAATCACCTCTAGGGCCAGCCCTGACCAAGAGGTGCTGCTGCTGTTGAGTACCTGAGGGCCAACCTTGTATGTTACATCTTGCAATGTGGGGAGGGCAGTTCCACACTGGGGAGAATGTTCTACCTAAAATGCCAATAATGCTTCTATTGAGTAATAGTCTTACTTGCTTAAAATCCTTCCAGTATTGAGGGAATTTATGCAAATAGCCAAACATAATTTTGCCTGATAAGTCACCCAAGCCCCAAAGACATTTCATTAAATTCATTTATACACAAACAAGTACATACTCACACCAATTAGTTCCAGTCATCAGTCATCATCACAGCACCTCCTTGAGGATGAAGCAAATGTGAATGATTATTCTCACTCTATAAGTGAGGAATCATTCTCAAGAGGTGGGGTGGGGGCCAGATTCTGAGGCTGAGTGTTGGAGGATGGCCTTGCCGTGACCACCTTCACTTTGCCTCTGTGAGCCTCAGTCACCTTGACTGTGAAGTGGGCCTTGGCTAGCTGATCTCTAATGCCCTTTGGCCTATAGCAATAGATGCCAGACTTGATTACAGTTAAATTCAACTTGTTCATTCTAGAACTGAACCCAGGCCCTGGATCTCCTGACCTGCAGCTTTTTTAATTTCATAGGTAGCTACTGCTTCATTATTAACTGAAATGTGGGATTTCGTAGTCTGTGACTATATAGCTGCTTTTATAAAGTCAGAATAGTTAGAAATACTCAGATGACTGAATGTTTTTATATGACTTTTATCTGGATGTTGAACACCATTTACATAGACTACAATCATGCTTTCATTTCATTTGTCAATGGTTCCTAGGTAGCTAATTTATTTGCTATTTTGCAAATGATTCTATTACAAGTGGCAGGGTGAAAGTTATCTTACGGGGTATGAATGCATTTAAAATATTTATTTTTTCCATCTATTATAAACAATAATTGTAAGCAAAACTACTGACCACAGAATTAGAATTTTAATAACTACGTTTATTGACATTGGTTTTGTGGTGAGCTGATTATTTATGTGAACCTCTATGTTTTGAACAATATAAAAACACATTTTTAAAAATATAATTTGATCTCTTGGGTCACCTTGACTTTTTTTTAATTGAACAAGTTGGTTTATTACTCAATGCAGTGAGGGAAAATGCACCCTGAGACGCTGTGGGATCTCTCACTAAGCAGGTGTTAGAAAAGACTAATTATAAGATTTCGACTTGTGCTAGGTACTTTTGGGGAAGGCTGAAGGAAGTGGGGCCTTGCTCTGCATTAGATGCTGTGAGGAAGCAGGGGTACTTCTATGATGGGGTATCTTAATAAATCTCATTTACAGTGAGAGCAGAAAGAGGCTGCTGCTGTAATTGAAAAGAAGCAGCGATTACTGCTATGAGCCAGGGAGGTCTGAGATTTTGAGAAGGCGATGTCTGGCATTTTGTGATTTGTTCAGTGTTCATGGTCTGTTCAGATGTGGTTATGGTGTTGTCTTGCTTATGGCATACTCTATCATGGTCACAGAGCGCCCTTGTCTGAGGTTGGTATTCTCTGAAAGGAGAACACTAAGGCCTAGCTGTGGCTGCCAGCCCAACTTGTAGTAATGCCTAGTCCAGCTGATAGCTGCTTTTCTTTTTTCTCACCCAGTACCAATCAAAAATTTTAATTTTCCTGCAGGGGAAGAAGGAGCAATCAAGTGCATTTCACATGATTAGCAAAGTACAACACAACATGAATACAGGTTCTTGAAGTTTTGCCTAACACCAGTTAGGAATGTTATAAA